TGCGTTTCAAAAGTGTTTTCATTTTGTTTTGTTTTTTTTTTAAGTATTTTTAAGTAGCGTTAGTTTTGCATTTTTTTCTTTTTTTGTTGTCCATGTTTGTCTGTTTCCTTCAAGCTCAATGACTTATAAAAATAAACACCAAAGAGAACAAACTCCCTCTCCTTGTAATCCATTCTCTGCCTTTGGAGATAAAATACTGGAGCTGGGATGCTGATGACCTCACTATCCCCTTTTTTCTCCCGCTGCCGCCATCTCACCCCAACCCCCCACCCCACCCCACGCAAAAAAAAATAAAAAATAAAAAATAAAAAAATACACAGGCATAATTGAAGGTTCTAAATAAACCATTTGAGAGAGAGAGAGAGCTGATTCATGAATTCATGGTGGGCGTTGGCTTTTTCTTTGAGAGTATATCTTTTACGTGCCTTTTTCAACAATTTACGCAACCAAGTTTTCAGCTTCCTTCGTATAGAGGCTTCTACTTGGGTCAGCTAAGCAATCCGAGTAGTCTGAGCTTAGCTTGGGAGTGGTACGATTTTTGACTCGTTAAAATTTGTTCCTGTTACAAAGTGAAACAAATATGATCAGCTTGTTTAATATTCAAGTCAAGTCCAAGAAATGTATTGAACAACTGTATATATAAAGTATCTTGTTGCCTAGAGACAACACTGGAACAGCCTCTCCATAAGGTGTTTTTTTTTCAAAGGATTCGAGTCTTTTGAGTTGCTCTAACCATTGGAGTTGCAATGGGGGAAGGGTTGCGATCATGGAAGAAACACAATATATTGCTAGAAAAATAGTGTGTCAAAGCTGTGTTTGAACCCAATTCCATTACTCTTATATATATACTAGCGGTACCCTGTGATTGAAGTCATTGTATACTAACTTATAATACTATGCATGTATTGGAGAGTATGTACAGGTGGAGTGTGTAGTTGTGTGTTGTGGAGTGTTTGTGAGATTTTTTTTTTTGGGGAGGAGGGGGGGGGGGGGGGCAGGGGGAGTGTGTGAAATTCTGGAGGGAAAATATACCCCTCATAAGTTCAAAAATTTAGCTATCTTATTATATAAATATATTAGTCATAACCCATATCTGAAGACACGATAAAATATAAAATTCAAGCGTCTAAAAAATTGATTCCATTATATTAAATTTTTTAAAAATATATTAACTATAAATTAATTAAATATTAAATGATTAAATATATGATAGATATGAGTGGTGTGATATTTTTAGGGAGGAAATATATAAATGATTAAATATGTGATAAAAATGATGATGTGATTTGACGTTTGAGTCTGACAAAGGGATAATGGGTGAGGTTAGTGATTGATGATGATTTTGAGGGGGAAAATATGACTGAGATAAAATTTAAACACACTCCTGTTTTATTATATAGATATATGTGTTGTGAAATTATTAAATTAACTACACATAAAATAAAAAACACAAAAATTAGATAAAAGAAAATTTTGCGGAATGATATTACTCTCTTTTCTTTCAGTATTTTGCACTCTTCATTCAACATGAGGAGTGCCTTTTATAAGCAGATCGGCTAGCTGAAAGTTTTAACTTTTAACCAGCCTATTTAATACGATTATTATTTATTATTATCCATGCACAATAATATGTCATATTCATTACTACGTGATACTATGCATCACTATTTGCAGTTTAGCAACAGGAGAAATGTGTCATGATAATTGAAATCTTCTATCTGAGTGTAGCCTTTGGCCACCAAGCGTGCCTTGTGTCGTCCTATGGATTCATCAGCCCGAAGTTTCGTTTTGAACACCCATTTACAACCTTTTGATTTTTTACTAGGTGGGAGGGGTTGGAGAATCGAAGTTTGATTAGCTTCCAAGGCTTGAATTTTGATAGCCATGGCATCACGCCAACGAGGGTAACACACAACTTGAGAATATGAGGTAGGTTTAGGGTGTTGTGACAAAACATAAAGAAAAGCCAAGTGATGATAAGAGAAATGATGATAAGATAAAAAAGGAGGAGAGATAATGAACCATACCTGAGGAGGATCTTGAAGTAGTTGAAGTCATGGAGGATTATGGAAAAGGAGGGCAAATGTAATTGTTAAGGTAAGCAGGTCATTGGACAGCTTTCTTTGGTCGTGAGAGGATGTTAGGGGGTGGTGATGTGGTAGATTGTGGTGGTGCCGAGAGAGAAGAGGATGATGGGAGGGAAGTGGATGGGTCTATGGCTATAGAAAAGGTTTGGACATTGGTGTTAATGAGTGGGAGAAAAATAGATAAGGCGGTAGAGTTGTGGGTGTGGGAAAAGTGAAGAGAGAAGGGATCTCAAGAATAGGGAGAGGAATAACTTGGGAACATGTAGGAAATGGAGATAAATGGTGATAGGAAAAGAAGTCTCTTCATAGGTCACATCACGTGAGATGAGATTTTTTTTTATTTTTAAGGTCATATACATGATAAGCTTTATAATGAAGAGGGTAGCAAAAGAAAACACATCTAAGGGCATGTATAGAAAACTTATCACGATGTTGTTTGGCTGTTTGTGCATAACACAAACATCCAAACACTCGCAAGTGTGGATATGATTCTGGTTTTTGAAAAATAAGTTCATAAGGTGATTTGTTATTGAGACTTACAGAAGGTGTGCGATTAATGAGATAAGTGGTGGTGAGAATGCATTCACCTCAAAGGAGATGGGAAGGTTGGCATGAAAATGCAAACATTGAGCCACATTACGAAGGTGATGATGTTTGTGCTCATTAATTCCATTGTTGAGGCGTGTCCACACATGTTCTCTCATGAAAAAAGCCATGGTCATGAAAATAATTTAGAATTTTATCAGAGCGAAATTCTACGCCATCATTAGTTCCTATATTCTTAATGATACAGTTGAACTGATTGTTAATGAAGGCACAAAAATTTGTAAGACATGTAAAAGTATTAGATTTCATGCACATAAGTAGATAGACCCATGTAGCACGTGAGTAGTCATCTACGATGGTCAAAAAATAATATGCACCTAAAGTTGATGGTGTAGTGTAACCACCCCATACATCAACAGGAAATCCGATTAAAATAAAATGTGCTCTTATTAGTGTTCAAAGAAAAAGGTAAACGGGTGTGCTTTGCTCTAGCACAAATATCACAAGGCAAATGAGATCCAGAAATATTTAAAGTTTTTGGAATACATTGAAGAGAGGAATGGCCAAGGTGTTGAAGCAAAAGAGTAGAGTCAGAAGCACACTGACTGTGAAGAGCGAAAGTAGAGAAAGGCTTGACGTAGTAAAGTCCATCCCATAATTCATCCATTTCAATCAGCCTCCTTGTTGATAAGTCCTGAAAAACACAAAAGGAGGAGAAAAAAAAGAGCAACACAATTGAGAGCAGCTGTGAGTTTACTGATGGACAATAAATTGAATTTAAATGAAGACACATAAAGAACATTAGAGAGATATATTGAGAGAAAAATGCATTTTGCCAACATGAGTTATGGAAACAACTTCACCATTTCGAAGCTTAATGGGACAAGACCTATCTATATTGTGAACATTTTTAAGAGTGGGCAAATCTGAGGTCATGTGATCGGATGCACCAAAATCAATAACTCATTCAGAATTAAGGGAAAAAGAACCAAGATAACAAGAGGCAAGGTTACCGACTAGAGGTGGGGTTCACGGGCGATAAAAGATCCTAGAGTAGAGTAGACAGTATTGCTCGCTTGTGAGGCCACTTTCGGAGGGATGGTAACTTGGAAGAGTCCATGACATTATTTGCAGCCAGGGAGGAACCAGTTTTCCGATCATGTAATCCTTGAGGGTTACGAATCTCAGACTTAGAATAACCATGCAACTTATAACAATTGTTCTTCTAATGACCATAACGTCCACAAAGTTCACACTTTGGATGACCACGCCCCCATGCTCCTAGCAATTGGGAGTACGAAAAGAGCTATTGGAAGAGTTTAAATGAATATCCATCGCAATAGAATCTGGTTGAGTACCAGAGAGGTGGAGGAGACTCTGCTTCTCCTCTTGGTGCAAAATAGCATAAAATTTGGTAACAGGAGTAAAGAGATCCATAGCCAAAATTTGGCTACGAATCGAAGCATATTATTCATGTAATCCCATCAGGAATTGAAAAACATGTTCAGTTCCTTTAGTGCACCACAAGTGCATCGTGGATTTGAGGTTAGGTGCTGAGTTCATCCCAATAGGTTTTGAGAGTGGTGTAATATGCAGAGATGGTCATGGAGTCTTGAGTGAGGTTACAAATATCTCACTTCAATTTGAAAATCCTAGGTCCTAGGATTGTTGCTTTGTGAGAAATGATCCTCAAGATCGAACTATACATCACGAGGGTTGTCATGATAAATCAAACTATTAACAATAGTTTTGTCAATGGAGTTAAAGATCTAGGATAAAACCATGTCATTGCAATTCTCCCACAACTGAGTTTCTACCAAAGAAGAAGTTGCTTTGTTGAGGGTACCATTGACGAAACCCAGCTTATTTTTGGCATTCAAGGCCATCTTCATGGCCCTCTTCCAGGTGGAATAATTGTCGCTGTTGAAAGGATTCGAGATGATCTGCTGAATGAAGAAAGTATGGCCAGGAAACATCCATGATGGGTAGGGGTGTCAGATTGACGGAAGAAGAGACCTCCGAAGGAGAGGTGGCTAATATAACCGAACCGACTATAGCTCTGATACCATGTCAAGAATATGAGAAAAAGAGATGAAGTTGGTTGGAATTTTCTGTGATAGTATTGACAAGAGACAACCATATGTATACAAGACGAAGGAGACAAAATCCCCATATAAAAGCTTAAATTAAGGCTAAAATTCCTAGACTAAAGGACACGTGAATGTCCTGTGGGTGTGAATCTGGATTAGCTGATCAGAACTCTATATATGGAAGGTAAATAATTCTATACATCGGAAGTAAGCATATGCCATATACAAAAAAAGCAACACAAATCAATGGTTCACAAAAAAATTCGGTACGATACCACTTCAGTATTGTAGTCCTCTCTTGTACTGTGTTATCAGATTAAGCTTTTATCAATGCAATCAACAACTTCCTTATAGGGTGTCACTACATCCCTGCTTGCATAAAGTTCTGCAATTCACTTCTTTCCATATACTGAAGTTCCCCAAATTAGATTGCCGGAAATACTGCAAGGGTAAATTACATTTGACCCCTCAACTATGACACCCATCTTACATTATCCCATCAACTATTATATTTCTCGCAGTTTCCCTTTAACTATGGTTATTAGTTTCATATTGCTCCAATGATTGACGTCAATTACAAATTTAATGAAAATTATTTCACTTTCTGCAGTCAAAAGACTTACCTCAATACACAAAACTATCTTGCAAACTCTAATGAATGGGAGAGTTAAGACCCACTTGAGATGACAAGGAATGGATAATTTGGTGCCTCTTTGAAGGAAAACTCGGAGGCTTCCTGAAGGAAGGCCTCTTCTTGAGATGCTGCAGAGTTCTCTTCGCATACAGTGTTCGAAACATTGGAGAAGCTCTTTCTTTGAACTTGAGAATGGTGAAGAAGAGAACTCTGTAAGAAATGAGAATGGCGACGACAGCAGCTAAATCCCACCATTTGGAATGATGGACGGACATGCCAAGCATTGTCCTGATGATCACCTCGCCCTTCAGTTTTGGATCGCCTGGCTGGAGTGGATCAAACTCGAGCCCAATCATGTCATTCTTGTATGCTCCCTATAACATTTTTAACAGAATAACCGTGAGGGAATGCATAGAATTTAGAGGGATCACTATTATTTCTGTCCATATATTGTAGATTATTGGGTGTGTTTAGTCAGATTTGTGTCTCTAAAGTACCTGCAAGCCCCATGCCATGTAGTTGATATATGAAAGAGGGTACTGCCAAACTGGCTTAGGAAGATCTGGCAGGAGACGGAAGAACCCGGATGTCATCATCATAATTCCCTGCAAGTACAAATATAATCGATATGAAGTTGTTGACAAGGAATTGATAACCATACAGCAATGAACATGAGAGAGAAAAAAAAAAGGAAATGAAAAGAAACAGTCCATGAAAGGTTGAGGAATCTTACAATAATCCCAGCCCCAGTGATGAGCCCCATCAAGAAGTTGGGGACAAGTGAAGCCACAACCATCATGCAGCTCTCTATAGCAGCTATACAACTCAAAAGATCAAGGAATGAATATAAAAAATGAGAAAACCCGGGGCGAAATTTCACCATGTTGTAAGTGATGGTTGCACTGCTAAGTGACATCAAGGCCAAGAATGGGAACGAAGAGAGGAAATTCGAAAGAATAAACACTCCAACCCCATAATGCCCATTCAGCCTCTCTCTATAGAATATCTATTCCAAAACAGAGAACAAAACAATGGAAATGTTAACAAAACAACTATCATTGTTTACGTAAATTTTGATCTATAGTTTGAAGTAAGATTATTCGATCGTTTACCTTCATTTCTTCAATGAAAGAGGGAAAGCCTCCAATGGACATGAATGTCATAAAACCTGATACAAACCCCCCACAAGCTCCCCTTGCATATATTGAAGTATAGTTGGTTCCAACATCAAGAAAGACACTACCAACACAAATAGATACAGCTATGTAGACTATTATTCTCAGCCAGTAGTATCCGATGTCTCTGGACATGTTCACAAACGATCTCCTTGTCAACGTTAAGAGTTGCTTACACCATCCTGCTTGGCTCCCACATTTTGGTTCCAACCCAAGTCCTTCCTGCAAAAAATTTCCTAATCCCATTACATTTCCAAGCACACATTTGTTGTTGTCCTTGATCCATGTAACATGCATTAATATAATATTTTCCTCTACTTCTTATGCAGGATTAAGCATTCAAGAAACATGTTTTAGCCTTGAATGTAGTTTAATTACCTGTGAAGTTTTCAATCTGTTGATTCTATAGAACATTATTACTGAAGGACTGTAACTTTTGACAACAACTAGACAGACTTGCGACCCCAACATAAAAGGATGTGTCTGGTATGTCTTTTAGTATGTATTGGCTTTATTCACCCTTAACCTCCCTAGACACCGCAAAGAACACATAATGAAAACTGATTAGTAAGGGTTGTACAAGGGAAAAGGGGTTTGGTAAGAAAGATATTGCGAGTGTCTCGCTAGTTAACAAACATCAATTGAGTTTGAAGTCAAGGCAGAATGGATACGAGACTACTATTGAAGTGAAACTTAGAATCATTGTGATTTTTCCATCTTCAAATTATAAAATTGGAGAATCACCAGAGTCTTTAAGCATTCAAGCTGCCTCCCCCATCCCCCTTCCCCCCGAGCTAGATGCTTCACCTACCTGACATTAGATTGAACGAACTGCACTAGCATAGTCTTACTAAGAGTTTGAATTGCTCTGTAGGATAGTACGATGAATGAATCATACTTCTATGGTTTGGCTAGCTGAATCACTGATTGCGCAATGCCAAAGATGGTTGGTTATACATGAAAATGCAGCCCATGATTGGATTTTCTTGACCCTTTCTTGCCTAGGTATAAAAAAAGGGTACAAATGATTTCAAAGAGTAAGTTTTGGTATGTTTTTCAATGAAATCACCAGAGGATTTGATTGCTGAGCTGACTATTACAAAAGAAAGATGGAAAAAGAGAGAACAGTTTCATCTGAGCTGACTATTAAACAAGAAAGATGGAAAAAGAGATAATAGTAAATGTGTGAAATTATTGAGATGTATACAGAAGCTTACAGCCGATGAGATTTCACGAATCCGAGCCCTAGCACTTGTTGCATATTCTGAAATTTTGTATTTATCAACAAGCATTGCCTTGATCTCTGCTGTTACCAAATTTTCCAAAGGACTGGTAGGCTTTTGGATGTCCTGCAATTGAGAAACCAGGGAACTAACAAGTGAGAAACATGAACATCCATATAAAATAATGAAGTCAATAGGGGGAAAGCAGACACTGAAGGAACTATTGGACATGGATTACTAGTAAAAAAAAGTTTGAAAATGAATGGTGGAAGGCAATAATTGGTACTCTTCGTTATGAAAGTCTTTAATGATTGTGAACAGTTCCTTAAAAACTCCGACCGACATCATCAAAATATTACAAATTATGATTGTAGAGCAGCAACAGCTTACAAGTATTTTTTGAGATCCCATCAAAGTGGCATTGACATCATCAAAGTCTGAATTAATACAACGAAGAAAGTGATCAGAAGGATTTCTTCTGCTTGGACATGGGAATCCAGCTTCAGCGAAGAACTGTATAAATTAGTCACACATTAGATAAAAAATGGATGAATTCAAGTTGCCTCAGGGGAAAGTAGCAAGTTGCCTAAAGTAGCAACACATTCTAGGCACAGATCATTGGTATTGGATGTATTGTTAGGTTGTGCCAAGTCAAATATGTTATTTGTTCTAGCTTGAGCAAACTCTGAAGTTGCAAGTTGCCTCAGGGGAAAGTCCTTTCTTCCAGAACGAGCTCGTATTTCATTTCATTTTAGGTTTTTTTTATGTAAAATGTAAAGCAGTGATAATGTTTGAAGAGATTCAATATGTTCTTTGGTATCTCTGCAGCCTTCTTTTGGAACGTTTCTTCAACATAGATGTTAAAACAAAGATGAATTCGAATAGCTTATCATATCAAATCTCAAAACGTTTGAGAAAAGTCGATATTAACAATATATTATAAGCTTGAACTGTAATAGTAAGAGAGCATAAATACTTTGTGTTACCTCAACAGCCATCTTTGCTTCTCCGAAATAAACATTTTGGCCACCGGACAGGAGGACAAGGTCATCAAAGAGTGCAAAAACTTCACTACTTGGCTGGTGAATCGATGAGATAATTGTTCTGCCATCATATGCAACATTTCTGAGAGATTGAACCACAAAAAAAGCCGAGGCACTGTCAAGGCCACTAGTAGGCTCATCAAGAAACAACAGGCGGGGTCGTGTGAGAACTTCTAATGCAATGCTTAGCCTCTTCTTCTCTCCACCACTTATGCCTCTTAAATGCCAGTTTCCGATCAGCCGGTCGGAACAATCTTGGAGACCCATTTCTATGATAGTTCCCTCTACAATTCCAATTACCTCATCTTTGGTCATTGTGGCTGGTAGTCTCAGTTGAGCTGAGTAAGTGATTGTTTCTTTGACAGTGAGAGTTCCCAACAGTACATCCTCTTGGGTCACATAAGCCTAATGGTCCAGCCAAAAAGATTACTATGTTAGAATTAATGATAGAGGTTTGTGAAGTGACAATGTATGCATTTACAGCATGGTTTTAAATTTGGAACAAATATTTCAGCATTGATATCTCCACTTAGTATGTTGTTGTATATAACGAATTAGTAAGATTTCTCGCTACTTGCTGCGTTTATTTTCAATCAATCATGTCATTAACTCAAGATTTTTACTCCTCACTTGATCTACGGTAGTTTCTGTACCGTGCCAACAAGATTTATTGCCTAATTTGGTGAATAGGTCCAAAAATTAGATACCAAATTGACTCTATTGAGTACTAACTTAGCGTGATTGAGTAGTAACTTGACAATCATAATTTGAAAACTTACTTTTGGTATCGAACAAAATTCCTTAAACTTTTTGGATGCAAAGTCGATGTTTTCATGTTGCAAGTGAAGTTAGACAAATGTTGTTATGCCAACCAAATATTTTTACTAATTTTTTGTTTGTTAGGTGAGGCGACACAATCTTTGCCAATATATAAGAGATTGTGATATTTTCAAAGTATAGTTTCACTAAATTTTTTTTTTCTCACGAGAAAAGGGGTGGGTGCAAGAAAGAGCGTCCAACGATCACTCCGTTAGCGCCTCACCGGTGGGATCATAAGACTTCTAATAGCACTTGGAACACCTCTTGGAACCGGACCTAACCAGGCTAGAATAACTGCCAACTACCGAGTTTTAATAGGGATTCCAGGACTCTAACTCCCCACATCTGGGTAAGGAGTAAGACCAGTACCACCGCTAGACCACCTTACTCATCGGTAGTTTCACTAAATTTCAAGTGGTAGATCAATAACTATAAACTCTAGTGGGATCCACTATTTGGTGGCCCATGATCTATACACGGTAGATGGTCTATCACCGAAGGAATGGAGATAATTTGAATCCCTAAAATTTTGTCCTATAATTTAAGAAAAATTATACTCAGATTCTTTAAGTTTGTTACTTGATCACTTAAACTCCTGACATTTGAAATATTATATACAGATCCTTTAAAGTTTGTACTTGCATAACATTTAGGCCTTTGCCATCAATGTCCGTTAGTATATCTTTTAATAAATTATACTTAGACCCCTTGAAGTTTGTAAGTATGTAACACTTATACCTTTCAAGTTTAAAATATTATACTTAGACTCTTTATTAGTTATGGAACTAATGAAATCGTTTTTTTTTTTATTTTGGGAGGGGGGGGGGGAGGGAGACTTGAACTATTGATCTCAAGAAGACAAAGTCTTCACAAGGTAAGGAGTACCATTGAACCAAAGGCCCGTTGGTTAATGAAATCTGTTAAATGACCAAATTACTTCAATTAAAGATAGAAGATATTGTGTCTATTATAGTTTGATCATTTATTTATTTTTTAATTTTATTCCACTAGATAGTATAATTGTATGTAAATAAGTGTTGAATTGAGTTCTTTGATATATTTATATTAATTATTATATGTAATTCATACATTTTAGTCACTTACTGACTTAGGTATCAGAGAGTCGACCTCTATAGCTCCCCTCCAGTCTCCAACTTCTTTTTCAGGTGATGTGAAAGTCATCTAAATTTTGGCATCAACAGTATCAATTATAATTTTTTAAGAAAAATAATATTTTTATTTTTAATTTTATTTCAATAAATGACATAATTGAATTTTTGTTGTAAAATTTAAAATATTTGATATTCTATTTTAATTGAAGTATTTTTTATCTAAGTGTAATATTTTAAAGTTGAGGAGTTTAAGTGTTACACGCTTACAAACTTCAAAGGGTCTAGGTGTAATTTATTGACGGACATTGACAACAAGGGTTTAAGTGTTATGCGCTTATAAATTTCGGGAGATTTTTGTATAATATTTTAAATTTTAAAAAGTCTAAATGATTAAGTAACAAATTTTAAAAAATTTAGATATAATTTTCCTTAAAATTTAATGTATAAAATTGTACCACATCAATTTAGACGAGAATTTGCCATAAAATTTTTGGGAAGTGTTGTTCTCTGGAATGCTTTTAATAGAAAATTACTTACAACACCACCATAGTCTAGCCTCCTCTTCCTCCCATTGATGAGAACATTCCCGGACATTATAACATTTCCCGAAAGTCTGCCTGCAACAAGTACAATTATTGATATTACATTCCAGCATCATGTGACAACAGCAATAAATTCCCAACTATCCCTTTATCCAAAATAAAATGGTCCATGTAGAGGGCCTTTATAATTTTTTTTAGGGTTAATAGTATTTAATATTTTTAATTTTTAACGTATTAATTTAATCCATAAATATTTAATTAATATTCCAATGACTCCTATGCAGACGAATTATTAAATTGTTTGATAAAATTATCATGTGTTGGTCACGTAATTAGTCTGATAGAATGATACATGGTCATTTCCATAAAAAAACTTAACGAACTGTCTGAAATAGGGATTAAAATCACATGAATTGAAATTTTAGAGACTAAATTAACAAAATTAATATAATATGAATCAAACTGATAAAACAGACATACTTTAGGGATCAAAAATATTATTAACTTTTTTTTTTAAATGAACATGCAATTAACTGTGCAGAATGAAAATAATTATTTTTCAAGAGGGAAAAGTCAGTATATTTAATGAGGAGGACAACTACACATATCCTATTTACTTCTTTCTACCCACCCCCTTGCCCTATCACAAGAATGGGTACACACATACCTATGTATTCTATTTCATGATACAAAATAATTAAAAAATGCACACCCTCGTCTTAATGTTTTTTAATTTTACTATAGCGTTTTGAATTTGAGCTTGTAATACAAAAATAATTTGAGCCAACGAAAAGTATGTGATATAGAAATTGAGCAGAACTTGGGTAAGAACTTCTTGTGATAATCAATTGTAGGTGAGTATGAGTGAATCAAAACTAGAAAGACTCAACTCGATTAACACCGCTATGTATACATTGTGTATATTTATATATACATACATAAGAGAGAGAGAGAGAGAGAGAGAGAGAGAGAGAGAGAGAGCTACCACAGCTCCTATGCCATGAGAGGGAGAAAATTTTGTATGGGTTTATCTCACCATGTGACACTATCATGTGGTGAGTCACCGCATGATAGTATGATTGAATGTGTACACTCTTGGATAGAAGAATAAAAATTTACTTTTAAATATCATACCAAAAATTATAATTCAAGATAGAAATTATAACTCAAAAGGCCGAGTAGGATTGAATAGAAAAACATGAGATAAATCTCAACAACAACAATATAAGATCGATCTCAACTTTTTTGAACACAATGAGAACTAAGATGACGCGACTGAATTACAATTTTCTTAATTTGTGGTAAGGTACCATAGTATTTCCCTATTTAGATACAGGGATATACTACTCTATGGAATAAAACAACAAAACAGAAACTGAAGCCAGTTGGATGAACAACAAAGTTGAGCCCCAACCTTTAATGTCGGGGAGAGAATTCTCCTATCTCGGTACTGTTTTCACAACATTCTTGCAAAGTGATCCATGAGCTCTCCTTATCAACATCAATCACATATTTTTGCAATTATGGACATGATTGGTGCACACACGATACGGAATGGAACAAAATGATAGATTTTAATGGTAAATGGTTGGATCTGTTAGACGTATTATATAAACGGGTCTACTCAAACCGTCTGAAAAAAGGCATAAACTTGACTAATGACAATATCAATCTAAGATGTCACAAGACCAAATAACAACCATATAAATAAGCTAGGCATGAATTGAATGAATTTGTTGCAATACGAAAAGATCTGACTTATTCACAACTCTACTTATCACCTAAAAAATAAAATATTCATAGTCCTACTCCTATCCTTGGAGAAATGTCTTAAAGAGTATGTTTAAATTGCCATATTTATAGGGATTCAAACTTATCCAATAGTAATAAATCTCTAATAAATTTTCAACGTAAAGCATTTGTGCCATAGCATGGACAGCCGATAACACAATGTCCATGTGAGGCACCTAAATAGTTAGAAAGGAAGCAATTTTTTGACCTAATTTGTTAGTTTAATTCATTATAACCTTTGAATTAAATTGATTATAACTCTATTAAATATTAAAATTTATTATTAATTTAATAATTTTAACGAAATCACCTCGTTATATCAATAAAACATGTCAATTTTTTTACGCTTGAAATAACATTACTCTTAAAAATAGGGTAGGGGTAGAGGGCGGGAGAAGGTGGAGTCTTTATCATAGCGTGACGATAGCAGTCTTTACAAGCTAGAGAAGCCCTGATCCTGAAGAAGGGCCTTGACGAGGAACACTCGCCCAACGGATGACCTTAGACTTGGACCCCAACCTCCTAAAACTATCATAGAAAGCTCTGCAGTCTACTTCCTCGTCAATCAAACTTGAGCCATTACTTTTGCTTGACTAAGTTAGAAGCTTAATGGGGGTGCTAAGTGTGATGGACCATATGGGTTGCTGGTTATTTGAGGTAAAACTTGCATGGAATCAAGAACAAGAGGTCTTGAAATGAAAGAAGAAGAAGAGTTCATTTCCATGACACATCATAAACCCACTACATGCATGTGAGAGAGAGAGCAAACCAGCTAATGAATCAAGAAGAGTGGACTTCCCTGAGCCTGAAGGACCCATAATAGCCATGATCCTACCAGGCTGAGCAAAGCCACTAAGTCCATTGAGCAACCTCCTGGTGGGTCCATTCCCAAAGTTTGGGAGCATCACCGTTAGATCTTCCCATACCAAGTATGCAACCCCATCACCTCCACCGTTCGACACCACCCCCCTCTCGGGATCTGCACCACCACCAGGTCCACCACCAATTGCCACCTCTATCTCCATTCTTTCAGAAAATACTTCGAACTCTTCAGTTTAAAGGCAAAAGAACAGTCGAGGAGAATAGGAAGATATCCTACTGTGATATACTTAGAAAAGTAGGAAAGCCCACTACTTTTCCTGTTTATAATAACATGGAAAGAGCAATGCTACTTGGTCGTTCCTCCTGCGACCGATGTCTTTCCTTTATATTATGAGCAGCGATATTGTGACATAATTTATGGAACGAAATTGTGACATAATTTGAAGACATAATGAGTTATCATTAATAAAATGATAATGAATTCATTTAATGCTACAATAGAACCCATCATTAAATACAATTCATTATCATTTCATTAGTGACAACTTATTATATCTTCAAATTATATTTCAATAACATTAGTGTTATATTATATGAAATCCGGTAGTGAATAACAACACTTCCCATGCTTTTTTTGCTATTTTTATCCTTTTTTTACTAATGATTTTGTTCCTTATTTAAGTTATTTATTTTATTTTATTTAGTAGTGCTTTATATATATATATATATATTATGAGTTGCAATGGGTTTTCAATTTCTTGTTTAGTGCATTTTATTGTGCTTGAACTTTTTGCATTTGAAATTAATCTAGATATCTTTAATTTCTTTGTTAGTACTTTAAATTTAAACGTGAAATTATTTGCAGTTGGCCTATGATTGATCTTTAAATACATAAATATATATTTACTATTATATTTTTATTAGTTTTAAAAAAATTAATTAAATCTCATTGTTAAAGTACCCACTCTAAATTTGAGTTTTTGGCTGCCCCTACTTCAACTTTGATTGTTAACTTTGCCGGTAATTAACCTCCATTATAAATTTGACAAAAGGTGGTGTAATATAGCCCTTGTGCTTCATTTTATTTGAACACATTTCGCATTTTTTATCCAAAAGATAATGGATACTTATATTTGACTAATGTAGAAACTTCAGTGTGCATGCAGTAACCGTTGGCTTTCTTCTTTACCCTTTTGTACTGTTTGCAGTCACTGTTTCACCAAACATGCTTCAATGCTGCCATCAATAGAGCTGCAGGGGGAAAGTTGAAAATTGAGAGAGAGATTTATGATGGAGTTGTTCTGTTCTTATCTATGGTATTACTTTAAGAGTAATGTTAGATAAATTTAAAAATTAGACTTAAAAATTAGATTTGATAATCTCAATCATTGAATAGGTAGTGAGTCCTAATAAATATTGAGATTCACAGTGAAATCAATGATTGAGATTATCAAATCTCATATTTAAATCTATTTTTTAAATTCATATAGCATTAATCTACCCTTCAAAAATAAAGCTAGAGGCCAGTACCTAGATACTGGAAACGAACCAGAAACTAGGACCATGGTTATAAATGAGTGTTTAGATATGTTGTACACATTGTTGTTTGTATCTTTGCGTTAGGAACCCTAAAGGCATCTCAAGTTTTAATATAAATCAGACATAAATTCAAACATTCTGATTTTGAATGTTATCATTCTTTGAAGTTAGGTAATAAAAGATTTATTTCTGATGAATATCTAAATTCTAACGTAGAGAGTCTGTCTTTAATTAGATTAAATAAAAAATTAATCGAACTGCGTATAAACTAGTCTGAACATTCTTTACCATTTAAAAAAAAAATAAACCTTTTTAGTAGGCCACCGGCCACCCAAAGGCTAGACATTTGTAAAATTGCAGCAAGGAGGAATGCTTGAAGGATAATTTTCAGTCAAACTTCATCCATTCGTAATGAATATTTTTTTCCCCCAAGTTAGGGAAGAAATGAAGGAAAACCTATACTATACTACATATAAAGTTTATTATTTTATTTTTTCCTTTAGTTTATTATTTTCAGTATTAATGATTATAAATAATTCAAACTAATTAAGATCAACAATTAAAAATTATATTTAATATAATATTAAAAAATTATTTTTCATAGGATAACCTTTATATTTCCCGACAACAGAAGGAGGACTCCAAATAACTACTACAACTACGACAATTATGACTGCACAACCTCCACCAGTATATGTCACTCAATGTTGAGTTTCTCTTTCTTCTTTAATGTGAAAGTGAACAGGTTACATCGATTACTCCCCGAGGCAGAGATGTCTTTTGCCTTTCACAATATTTTGAAGCATTTTAAGTTGGAGTTGAGAGTGTTAATCAGGATCAGCTATTTGGATTCGATTGAGATAAAATTTGGCTTGAGTTTAATTTGGGTTTTAAACGAGAAAAATTTGAATAATTTTTTAAACTTATTTATAAAAATGAGCCTAAAAAACTCGGTTTAAACTAATAAAACTCGACTTGTTTATATGTAAATTAGTTGAGTTGTTTAGATTCGGGTTTTACTTGAGTTCTAAACGAGTCGAACTTGAACAATTTTTAATATTGATTTAAAAAAAATAAGCTTACTAGGCTCGGACTCAAGTTTTCAAAACTCAACTTGATTAACACCCTTAACTGTAATAATGTGAATAACTTATTTTTCTATTGCTAATTTGCATTAAATTGCATGTTCAAATAGGAAATAATGGATAATATGGGGTAGGATGAAATGAAAGCCATCACTGGAGCATATTATAATTAATGGAACCATCAAAGTCTGACCTCACTTGTCCAAATTAGTGATGATAATTGATTGAAAATGTTTATGTTTATGGAGTGAGTGAATTTGGAAAAATCAAATCCTTGTAAGCATTCCAAAAGAAGTTGTAATATACATACACTCGTATGAACTTCTTAAAACAAAGTACTTATCAAAAAATTAAGCAAAATGTTGATATGTAAGTACGTTGCAACAAAAAAAATTCACAATAATTTGCAGACTCGGGATTAATGCTTTATATAAGCTAACACGATGAATTTGTTGTATTCGGATTTTAACATTCATCGGATGTAAAACCCACTTACCCTGTAGTTTTTTTTGGGTAAAATCATAGTTGATCTTTGAACTATGTCCTTGACTTTAATTTAATTTTTAAAATTTTAATTTAGTTCATAAATTATTAATTTTTATACTAATTAAGTTATTTATCAAATTTTGCCATTAAATTAACTGAAAATTAGCCCAATTTGATCCATTTCAATATTGATTTAACGATGAAAATGTATGAAATGACTTAATTGAGATAAAATTGATAGTTGAGAGACTAAATTGATATAATTAAAAATTTAGAGACCAAATTAAAACCAAAGACAAAGTTCAAAGACCTAGGCTATGTTTGGTAACTGTCTTTGTCTTTGTTTTTGTGTTTTTGTTTTCAAATTTTGTCAAAAATAAAAATAAAAATATTTTTGGTAACTGTTTTTACTTTTGTTTTGTTTTGTTTTTATTATATTGGCGACAAAGACAAAAAAATGAGAACAAAAAATTTTTGTTCGAAGAAACATGCGAAACAGAAACAGGCGCTAATAAGAATTAATAGGATTCGGGTTTCGAACTCCCTTAGCAGCAAAAATACTCTTTTTTTCGTGAACCTATTTAAACCCACTCATCTCTCTCTCTTGTCCATCGCTAAATCTCCGTCACTGCCTCACTCTCTCCATTTTCTCACCTTCATCGACGATATCTCCTCTCCTCTCTCTCACCGACGGTAGGTAAGCCCCTTCTCTTTCTCTCTGTTTCTCCCTCTCTCATCTTATCTCCTCGCTCTCTTTCTGTGTATATATACACAGACCCGTGTATATATGCATATATGCATAAATTTGTGCATATATATATGCACAAATTTGTGTGTGTTGCGTGTGTGTTGTGTGTGATTGGTGTGTTCTGTGTGCTGGATGTGTGTGTGTGTATGTTCTGTGTGGTGGGTGTGTGTGCGTTGTGTTCTATGGGTGGATATTTGTTGTGTGGATATTTGTTATAATACTTGATAAGAATAACGTGAGACAAGTAACATAGTAGATGGGTGAAAGTATAATTTTCCCACCAACCATTGAAATACACACATAAGGCATACCACTCTCAATCATTATTTGAGATTGTCTCTGTTTATGTCCAAACACTTAGATGATTTTGTGTTGAATGATACCTATTCTCATTCAAAGTAGAAAAAATCATGCTTCTCCTCAAAGACCCCAAATCATACATACTGTTTGTGATGATCTCAATCAATGGGTTTGGGCAGATCTTCTGTGCTCGTGCCCAAGCACTCTCTTATCTCTGCTCCAATGACATAGTCAACTCCAATTACATAGATGACTGCACTTCCCTCTTGGACTCTTTATCCAGAGCAACCTCCATGGACTTCTACAATGAGACTTTCAATCATATTCATGGTCTCTTCCTTTGCAGAGGCAACGTTAACGCCTCTATTTGCCGGAATTGTGTCACTGGTGGCGGAGAAGAGATCATCAGGGTATGCCAGCCGAATAGAACAACAACAATATGGTATGATTTTTGCATGATTCGTTACTCTGATATCAACTTTTTTGGAGAATTGCAATCTGGACAAGTAGTGCTTTTTTATAATACCCAACATTTTAATTCAACGGAGGATCCACAAAACTTTGCAACTGTGAATTTCATACAGTTATTGATATTGGATAGTCTGCTTACGGAGAATCTGTACACTACAAATAGTTTACCTCTGCCTAATGGAGATTAGGTTACCACCACCACCACCACCAAGTACCCCTGCACCTCCAACTGATCAAGGTGAGTCAAAAGTTTTGATTTAGTTTTTTGTACTGTCCCAAAAAAATTGGCATATAACCTATTATGAAAAAGCACATGGAAAACTAGGCAAAGTGGGAATGAAAAGTGGTAAACTTGCTAGGAGATGTAAAATAGTGTTAGATTTGTCTCCTATGAACTTTTTATATGGGGTTTGTATCTCTTTAAGCTCACAATTAGATCTAACAACTTTAGCTATACTTTTTAGAGCCTCAAACAGAGAGGTGTACTCTATATTTGGTTTCGATATTATGTTTACCTTAATGCAGCATATTGCAGGAAATGGAGGATTGAAGAACACAATAAAAATAGCAGTCATCACAGTATCAACAACAGAAGGTGTAGCCGTGTAACTGTGTGGATATTTACTCAAAAATTAAGCCCTGTTCTTTAAGAATTTCAGTTGAAATCCATATCAGCTTCGAAAATGCAAGGCAACAATTTGCAAGGATCAGTTAAAATAAAAAAAGGAGGCCTCCATTCACCAACATTTAATAAAAAAGAGAAACTGTCATTGTCCAAGTTAGGTGGGAACCTCTTTCTGATGACTTTCTGAAATTAAATGTTAACGGGGCCTCAAAAGGAAGTACTGGTCTCTCTGGAGGTGGAATGGTTGTGAGGAATGCAAATGGGCAAATTGTAGTTGCAGCTGCTGCCTTTTATGGACCAGGCTCTAACATGAAGGCTTAATGCAGGGCCTTGTTTGATTAAGTAAATCTGATATTGAGGAATGGTTTGGAGGGACATCAAATTGTTATTGAATCTGATTCCCAGGTGTTGGTTCAGATGGTTTTAAGGAAAGCAGAGGTGCCTTGGAGATTGAGAGGAGTTATGGAGCAGATTTGGATAGCTTTGGAAAATTTTCAATTCCAGATAAGGCACGTTTACAGGGAGGAAAATGTGATTACTGACTTTATGGTTTCGTTTGCTATTCAAAATGAATCCTTTTTTGAATTTTCATCTCAAAGTAGTCTGCCTTTGCCTGGTAGATTGCTTCTGCATCAAGATCAGTCTGGATTATCTGAGGCCAGGAGGAGAGTGGTGTTTTGTAATTGGATAGAGCTGAGCTGCTGCATTGGTCTGTTCTGCTGCTTTGGACTGCATTGGAACTGAGGTTCTAAGCTAAAGCTGCAGTAACTAGATTGGACAGGGCAAGGGCTGTGCTGAGCTGAAGGGACAAAACACAGCTGTTGTCCAGGATCTGTTGGGAATTTTAACAGATTTTTTGTTTGTTCTTGTACAGTTACTATTTGATTTGTTAAAATAGTTACTGTTTTCTTAACAGTTTCTGTTTTTTTTTTCTTGTAATTTGTTGGTTTCAATAAATAAAATTCTCCTTTAAAAAAAAAAGAAAATTTGTCAGCAGGCAGGTTATGGTTGCTCTAGCCATGGAGTTGGATAGCTGGCAGCTGGACTGTTTTGATTAGTTTTTGGTTTTAATCATTTTTGAAGGATTAAAGCCAACTCCTTTGTAAATAGAATTTTTGAATTCTTTTGCTTCTTGTAACTCCTTTGTAACACATGATTGTAAATCATTTTTCATGAAATAAAGAGTTAATTTGTTTGAAAACAAAAAATGAGATATTATAAAACATATTTAAGATAAAATTTGAGGTAGTTATCAAAAATGTTTTCTGTTTTTATTCTCATAATTTGATAGACAAAAATGACTACCATACATGTTTTCTGTTTCAGTGTTTACCACAAAACAGAGACAATTTTTTGTCTCTGTTTTTAGTTTTTTGAAGACACAAAAACAAAAACGTTATCAAACGACTTCCTAGTTTTTATTGTTTTTGTCATACATTTTCATGCAAAAATTAACTTGTTGGCACATCTTATTTAAAGTGATCTATTTATTTCACGGGTCATGTCAAATCTTATCGTCTATAATAAAGGATTTGAGACGTTTAGTTAATCATACTAAGCTCCAGATTGATCACTTTACTAGAGAATATATAAAATTCCATAGAACATGTTGCCATTCCTAGCAAGTTGGAAAGAATTGACCCATTCTTGTTTGGGAACGAAAGAGCAGAAGTGACCAAAAAAAAACTTTTCGCTCATATTTTTCAAGAATATATATTGAAAATTTGCCCCTAAACAGATTTGTAAACCTTTTGCATGAGAAAACCAAACATGTTGCCAAACATACCTCCATCCTATACTTCTTGTTAAGGGTGTTCAAAATTCGACCCAAACAATACCCTTGATTTGGTAAGGTGGGCCAAGAATTGGCCTTCCGCAACACATCGACTCAAAAGTTGGAATACAACATTTCCTCCCGTCGGCTCAGGTGAACAACTCTACTTCTTGTCAAACCATTATGAGACCCTTCTTTTCCACCCACTCTTCTAAAATTCATAGATAATAGTGTCTACGTATTAGTTTAGAAAATAGTCTACATGAATTGAAATCTCACAAGTTTGGACCAATAGTTGATATAGAAGTGAAATTAGGACTACAGTTTAAGTGGTAATGCGCATTTCTTACAAAAACTTACATTTTCCACAAGATATGCGTTTTTTTTTTTTTAAAAAGAAATGTTTATCGAAGACAAAAATGAAAAAGAAGTAAAACAAAGCCGTTCCATGAATTTTAAACCTGTAAAAAGTCATAAGGTTTCAATCATTTTGACTCACAAATCATTTACAATTTTGTTCATATTTTTGTTAGCTACGGCTATAGAATAGCATGAAGCATGAATAAAGCAACTATTCTATGAAGGATTGAGGATTAGACATTTGATACAAGTTAGCCAAAACAAAAGAAATGCTACTTATTATCTTTGATCATAAAGAATTACATACATGTCTTGTACATAAGAGTCCAACAGAATATATATTTACGTTTTATTTTTCTATAATGGCATACTTTTTGCATGCATTACATCTTCAAATTACAGCACAAAACCAATGATGCTGCATCAAATGAAGTAACGGGAAAATGTATAGGTTACAAAGATCATTTGTCGTGTATAAATCATAGAATTGTCATTATATTCATCAACAGAGCAAGACTGTAATACAACCAACCGGAGATTATAATTCCCAGTATTATTTTGACGAGGCTTCTAAGTGCTTGGAGAGCAAAGACCCTCTTGAGAAGACAATGGATGGAGATTATGGTGCATCTTGGAAGGAAAAGATGGCTTCTTCTTGAACGAAGGTCGCTTACTGAGATAATAAAGAGTTCTTTTGGCATAAAGTGACCGGAAAAAAGGCGAGGCTTTCTCTTTTAACTTGAGAATAATGAAGAAGATAAGTCTGTAAGATATAAGAATGACATATACAGCAAACAAGTCCCACCATTTGGAATGATCCAGCGACAACCTGAACAGATTTTTTATGACATCCTCGCCTGTCAGTTTAGGGTCACCGGGCACTAGAGGGTCGAAGACAAGGCCAAGCATGTCATTCTTGTATGCTCCCTGCATTTATCATTGCAATGGAAATAAAAATATTTTCCAAAAAGTTATGATAAATGGAAATATGTCATCAGCAGTTTGTTCAACAGATTGTGCTAAAATTATGACAAACGAGAGTTTTGAAGCCGTAATTTATACACTCACCAGAAGGACTGTAATCAATCAGAAAGACATGTTTTAATGTTGTGCTTCATGCACTAATATATGGGGGTATACCTTTTGTATTAAAGCTATCAGATAAATTAATCAGTAACTAAAAATATATGTAACAATACAAAAGTTCTAAAAACAAAAATGAATCAACCCTAGCATATATGCACAATGTATAAATGTTATCATAACATATAGAACTTAGAGATATGATTTAAACTTGAGACACTACAATTTGGATATTTCAGAGGGCAGAAAATCAGAATGGGGTTGTTAATCATCTGGGATTTTATGGAAAGGAATAGAAGAATTGGAGTGTTTTATACTAAAAGAGAGAGGAGACAGATGAGAGACCGGAGAGAGACTGCTGAATAAAGAACTTTGACTGTTCGATATCCAACAAAAGAAAACGAGAATAATGAAAGTGAAAGGCATATCTGGCTCTGATCACTCGCCTTGAGAGAAGACAACATACCTAACTGTTATTTTCAACTTATTAATGAAAGAGACGAAAGAATGACGAGAGTTTTCTACATCGCAGAGAACTTTGTGCACTTTTCTCATTTATTGAACTCCCTAATAGACTGATACGCATATGGGACAATAATATATGGGGTGGGTGTTCAAGCACTAAAGCAAATGTAGATTAGGCTAGCTCAATAAATAAAGATGCCTAACAAATAAGCCTTACATCTTAGATCAGTATAATCGCAATTGGGATCAAGATCCTGCGATGCTACATGATCCAGATCTTGATCCCTTAAGAATCTATTAACCAATGATTTTCTGAGAGACTCAAAATGATTTAACCTGTATTAGATCGTAGGACCAATCCAGATCGGATTATGATAACCATGGGCCTTACTTATTGTGTTTATCTTTTCCTAAATCCATTGTACTGAAGAGTGTTTGCAACATACTATCACCATTATAAAAGTACCTGTAGCGACCATGCCCCATAACTTATGTATGAAACCGGATAACGCCACACTGCCTTGGGAAGATCAGGCAGCAAGCGGAAGAACCCCGCGGTCATCATCATGATCCCCTGCATAGTACATTCTGATTAGGATTATGACGAACAGAATGATAAAGTACGGATGACAATTTGGACATAAAATGCTAAAAAAGGTAAGGTGTCTCATTCTTACAAGAACTCCAGCCCCAGCTATGATTCCCATCAAGAAGTTGGGAACCAATGAAGCTACAATCATCATGCAGCTCTCGACAACAGCAATACATCCAAAAAGATTAAGACAGAAATATGTGTAATGAGAAAATCCAGGCCGAAATTTCACCATCCAATAAGTAATAGTCCCTGTAACTAAAGATACCGAGACCAAGAAAGGGAAGGAGGAGAAGAAGTTTGACAGGATGAACACTGCAACTCCATAGTGTCCATTGAGCCTTTCTCGATAGAAAACCTGTAAGCAGTGGGATTTCATGATGGAGTTAATTTTGTTTTTCATCATAAACCAATGATTGGTTGTGAATAATAACTATAACATACAAAAGAGGACAAGAAGTCCTCAACTTAAGGAAAAAGAAAACAAGAAAGTACAGAAAATATAAAACCAGCAATACAAATAGAGGAAAACAGCATCTTAAATTACTGTCATATTATATAATTTCGATTAGTATAAGTATGATGCTATGTTCACCTTCATATCTTCAATGAAGGATGGAAAACCTCCAATGGACATGAAAGTCATAAAACCTGTCACAAACCCACCGCAAGCTCCCCGAGCCAAGATTGCACTATAACTGGTGCCAACATCATAAAACAAAGTGCCTACACATAGAGAGACAAGGATATATATCACTATTCGTGACCAGTAGTATCCCACATCTCTGGACATGTTCACAAAAGATCTTCGTGTCAACGTTGAAAGTTGCTTCCACCAGTCTGCTTGGCTTCCACTTCTTGTTTCAATCTCAGGTCCTTGCTGCAATACAGGCAAATTATGTACATATTATTGTTGACACTAAACCAATTTAATGCAAACTATATGCTACCAAAATTGCATTCTTAAGGCACACTTCATCAATATCTGAGTTTTCTTCGCATCTGCTGATAGAGATGGTTATCATTGCACGGAGAACATTCAATTTCTGGAAAAATGTTTTCTAACATGGATTTGGCCAAAAGTGTGTTCTATAATGCCAACGTAAACCAGAATTTCCATTGGAAAAAAAAATGCTAATTAATGCAGTTTTCAATTATCACCTTAGAATTTGATACAAATAGAAGATTACCTAGGTTAAAAAAGTGAAGAGTAAAATACAAAAGAAATACATTAATTTGATGGTGAAAAGGTTGAATTGGATATTCTTACAATGGTTGAGATTTCTCGGATCCTTAATCTAGCTTTCAATGCATACTCCGAGCGCTTGTATTTCTCAACAAGCATTGATTTGATCTCTGTAGTTGTCAAATTCATAAAAGGATCTGATGCTTTCTGTGTGGTCTCCTGTACCATAAAAAATTCAGAAAATAACTATTCTAAACAAAATTGTGTAGTAAACATTTGTTTAATTAAAGGAATATAAAGTTAGAGACAATAGGGCAGCCTCTCCACTTGCAGGGTAAGGCTGCATACATCTAACCCTCCCCAAACCCCGCGGTGGTGGAAGCCTTGTGTAATGTGCTACTCTTTTTATTTTAGACATTAAACACAGAAAAATCATGTTAAAGAGAGGATCCATGCCCACTTAAAAGACCAGGTGAAGTGAAATGCCAAGGTACAGTACAGTTACTAATATATCCATACACGAAGTCTTTGCGATCCTCTCAACGTGGCAGTTACAATGTCGAAGTCGGAATTAATACATCGTAGGAAATGATCAGAAGGATTTCTTCTACTCGGACATGGAAATCCTGCTTCAGCAAAGAACTGAAAAAAACAGATAGATATCCCATTAGAAATGAAACAAATTGGTGAAATCATATCATTAGAAGTTTTTTTATAATTTTTCCATTGAAATTGCATCAATAAATAACTCCAAAATATGTGTGAATCTTTTAAATTTGATCATTCTTTTGGTTTGAGTTTGAATACTGTCGTATGAGATCACGTTAGGTCCTTCTCACCTTTACAGCAGTCTTTGCTTCTCCAAAGTAAACAGGTTCACCCCCAGATAGTAGAAAGAGGTCATCAAACAATGTGAAAACTTCACTACTAGGCTGATGAATAGAAGAGATAACCGTTCTTCCATCACGAGAAACATTTTTGAGAGTTTGAATTACTGAGAAGGCCGCGGCACTATCAAGGCCACTAGTGGGTTCATCGAGAAACAGTAGACGTGGTCGCACAAGGATTTCAAGTGCAATGCTTAGTCTCTTCTTCTCGCCACCACTTACACCTCTTAAATGCCAGTTTCCTATCATCCGGTCCGCACAATCTTGAAGACCCATTTCTGTGATTGTTCCTTCTACAACTCCATTTATCTCTTCTCTGGTCATAGCAGTTGGAAGCCTTAAATGGGCTGAGTAAGTGATAGTTTCTCTAACTGTAAGGGTTCCCAACAATACATCCTCTTGTGTGACATAAGCCTGAAATCACATAGAAACGTTGATTACTACACAAAACAAATAGAAACTACAAGTCTACAAAGACCAGATCCAGAAAAACATCTTACAAAAGAATTCTAACTCATTTCAACAGGATTCAAATTAATTCAAACTAATTTCAACCAAAGTTATTACTTTCCCATATCAACCATTAATAATCTTTTGCAACAGAATGTCAGTAGGCCTGTGAAAGGGATTTAAACAAAATTCAAAAAGAGCTATAGCAAAGTTATTTCAAGCACTTACAGGATTTGGATATATTTACAATTACCTTTTGAGTTAGCAAATCCTTTTTTTTTTGGTCAGATTGAGCAAGCAAATTCAAGCTTTGATAAAAACCTAAGATTTTGGGAAGGCAATGGCATTTGAAAGCAAATTCAAGGAGAAGTAGCCACAAGTTCAATGGCTTTTTGGACATATATTGTGAATAATGATATTTTGAACATTTTTATGTCTCTTAGTAATTAGTATACATTAGTCTGGGGTTACTCCACATTGAGGAAGAAGACATTAGACCTCATTTCATTTAGGCCAGTAATTTTTTGTGAATTACTTTTCACATGAACTTTCTGAAGGGAGAGAACAATTAAGTCTTTACATAGTTCATATGAATAGCACTGTTGTGACTTGCAACTTTGTACAAAGACGCTTTCGTGTCATATACCTGACAGCAGGTTGTTTATTTTTCCAAGGAATCACTCCGACAACATTATCTTTAACATAAATCACTCTACATTTCTTAGAATTAGAGTCCAAATGCTGCCCATAACACTACTTATAATTCAAGAAACATGTGGCAACTATTACGTTTTTTGCAGCTACCAAAAAAAGTATTTCTAGCAGATAATGAAGGCAAAATTTGGAATTTTGAATGCTTGGATTTAGTATGAAATGATCTGAAAGAATGTGAGGTGACTCACGGCGACCCCATATTCCAGCCTTCTCTTCTTCCCGTTAAGAAGGACATTTCCAGTCATCACAACATTCCTTGATAGTCTACCTGTGGAAAGTTCATGCATTATTCACATAGAAATAAAAGTAAAGCTATCACTACATTAATCATATTACTCATTATAACTATTATTACTATTGTGGGGATATTCGTAACCCAAGATCCCATCATTGTCCGCATCATATTCAACTTTCTGATGCCATCTTAATGAGGGCATCTACTGCTGCAGCAACATCAGGGTCAAATGGGACAATTCAGCAAACGCTTAAAGCATAAAATAATTACCCTCATTACTTTTCTAGACCTTTGTTAGTTAGATGTCAGCTTCCTACTATTTTTCAAGATCATGATATCGGTTATTGATTTGCGATGTACTAAGATGCATTGGTCACAACATTGCGGAACCATTTCTGCAATACAAACATGATGCAACATAGAAGAATAAGTTGAATGATATCGGCTGATCCAGTGAAGTAACTTAGATGACTTCAAATTGACTCGAAGATGTCTTAAATGACTCAACCGAGACACGAACATGTGGAACAGTATCGGAGCCGAGTCGGATACAAGTCGGTTGAGTCCTATTATTTTGATCAATTCAAAGAACCTAGTCTTACCATCAAAGAAAATTACCGTTTTCTAAATCAAGAGATGCTGCTTAGCCTGACAAGGTAGCAAAAAATTTTGTTCATCCAAAAATGATAGAAATATTTTATCTGTAAGCTTTATTTCTGCAGCAATACTCAAGGATTAACTTCTTATTATGCAAAAGGACTGATTGAGGTTTTAAGGCATGCACAACCTCAGAACAGTTTTTAGTTACAAATAGAAAGAGGGATTCTTTGGAAGCCGGTACACCAAATTAGACATAATTATAAAAAAATATATAAAACAAAATATTTTGGAAAAAAGTATACAACTGAGATATCCTAAAAACTTTAACAAGACATTTATTAAGTGCTGAAATTTAGGGTCATTTAATTCAAAATCTCTTATCTTTGATGCACCTTAATTCATGCGTATTTTTTTTTAGAAAGTGATTTTATTTTCAAATTATATTTATACATTAAATATTTACTACTACTAGTTTTATAAAAGAATTTTAATATTCCGTTTATTTTAGAATATATCACTTGTTTGAATTTCAAAATTTGTTAATATCCGAACTCCATAATAATGTAACAAAAACAGTGTAACAAATATATTGTAACAAAAACAGTGCTCTGTAATTTTGTGTATGTGGTAACAAATTCAAAACAGAGATGGATTGTTTTGAATGAAATTATATGAAAATATATATTTGACAATTAATAGTACAAAATTTTGTGTAAATGACTTGTTACACTGTTATTGTTAAACAGTTACACTATTTGGATATTAATATAATTTGAAAACAAAATCACTTTCCAAAAAAAAAAATGCATGAATCAAGATACATTAAATATAATTTAAAAACAAAACCACTTTTCAAAAAAAAATACGCATGAATCAAGGGAGGACATACAAATATAGAATATTAAAGTTCTCCCATAAAACTGGGAGATATTTAATGCACCACTTTCTAAAAAAAATACACATGGATCAATGGATGACAAAAATGTTACAAAAAAATCTATAAAATTCAAATAATGTACTTAAATACAAATAAGTATCAAAATTAAAGACTTAATTATCCAACATTTTTTCTATATACTTTTTTACAATTAAATCTAATTTGGTGTACCCCGTCCAATTTTCCCTAGAAAAAGACTCCACATAAGGTTACCCATGTTAGATATATCCCAGCTAACTTTAAAGGCTCTTTAATGAGCCCGTATGCTGATATGTAGGCATTGCGCCAAGTCTGAACTATGGACTTGACTACTGTACAGATAAAAAAATTTTGATACAATACTTCAAATATTTACTATTTTTATGGGTAATTTATCATTTTTGTAAATATTTAAAAAAAAAAAAATTTATCACTTTTGTATATGATTTTACAACTTTTGTGAATATTTTTACTACTTTTATAAATACTTTTATCACAATTATAGTAATTATTTTTATCACTTTTTTTGGGTATAAAAATATTACTATTTTTGTGGGTGATTTATCACTGTGTAAGTATTTTTACCACCGTAGCAATAATTATTTTTATTACTTTTTTTTTATATCATAATAAAAATAAAAACACTTGCAATAATAATAAAAATACCGGGAAATGTGATAACTATCATTATGATATCGTAGATAACTCCGACCTATATAGTTAGGTTCCTTTCATTTCCAACCGTCCTCTTTCCCAACAACTTGGCCGTCGTATTAATGATATCAATTTCAGTTCTGTCTCATTCATGAATGAGCCACTGCTCTGATTTGACCTATCATTTTGTTGGATTTGCATCTTTCCCAATTCCATTCAATTAAATTCAATCCTTCATCGTTAAATCCATTGAATTTCACCAGGTGCCGGTATATCCCATAATATCCCAATTTGGATTCAGCCCACATTCTTAACTAGTTTATCCATTACCCGGCAACCAATTATATAGGAAAATTTTCATTCTAGAAGTCAATTAAAGTATGATTTCTTAGTAAATATAACTCAATTGGTAATTGAAATAAGTTATAGACTAAGACGTTATTCGAATTTTAATAACTCGTCAGGTTAAATCGTAAAAGATTTATTTATCTTCAATACTCTAATTTTAATATAGATGAAAACACTTTTGACCGATTTAAGAAGTTCATTTGAGGTGCACGTTAGTTTGAATTCCCATGACCTATTTTTGACCAATTTAAAGAGGAGATTAATCAAGCTAACCTGTGTACCACCGGTGACAGTTAAACCAAAAAATAAAATTAAAAAAAAGAAAGATTTCCTGTCTAACAGTAGGATATTCTATTTTGTAAACGATCATGATTCATGAGAGACAGTAAAATACTTTCTTTAGAATATGCAGAAACCGGAAAGCTCTTAACAACTATTAGGTTTCCTCACCCATGTATCCAAAAAGGTCCATTTGGATAGATAGATAAAATCCAGCAGCAGTACACATTTAATTAGGTAAATTTCCAAAAAATATGAAAACAAAAACACCTGCAATAGATGTACAGCAAAAATTGCCTATTATCAATGCTATTTGATTCGAATCACAGCCCATATAATTTGCTTCTTTATATATGTATTTTATTAGTATAGATATATGAAGCACTTCTTCATATATACACTAGAACAACTGCAGCAGTACATAGACACAAAGCTTTATATTGAGAGGAAGAGAGAGACCTGCTAAGGAATCAAGAAGGGTTGATTTGCCAGAACCAGAAGGACCCATGATAGCCATGATTCTGCCAGGAACAGCATACCCACTGAGACCATGAAGCAAACGCTTGGTTGGTCCATGCCCGAAGTTTGGAAGTACCACCGTCAGATCTTCCCACACCAAGTACGCCACACCCTTTTCGCCGCCGTGCAAATATTGCACCCCTTTCTCAAGATCATTTCCACCACCACCACCATCATTACTAACACTAGCACTACCACTACCACTTGCACTACCACTTGCCACCTCTATCTCCATTGCCCCCTTCTCCACACAACTTCAACTCAAATAGAAGTGAAGCTTAAAAATAGAGCAGAGAGAGAGAGGAGAGAGAGAGAGGGGTCACGTGCATGAAGTATGGCCGATCAATGGGTCTTTGGCTGTCGGCGCCAAACAACTACTATACCTTTCAATATTATGATTTTCGCGCACACACACACACGCACATATAGAAAATGCTATATAGATTTAAAAATTTGATATAATTTGTTAGTTTAATGATATAATTTAATTAAAATAATTGGATAAACACCAAATTTTAATATTTAATGGAACCCACAGCTAATCTAAAAATTATAGTGAATTAAGTTAATAAATTAAGTCTCAATCATATTAATATATATATATATATATATAAATAAATAAATAAAAAAAAGAGAGTGAGAGAGAATTTAATACTTGAACTCTTAGGATGTGTTAAACGCGAGGCATTGTGGAACCCAAAGAACGCATTATGAGGTAGCAGAGAGAGAATTTAATGCCCGGGGGTCCAACTTTATGGTTTGCAGTTGCATTAAACGAGTGCCGGCTCTCTTAAGCTTTTTGTTATATTGTTGATCCATATGTTACATGCTTTTCTATTGAATTAAGCTTCCGCAATGTCAAATGACAAATAACTTAATGAACACATTTTTCTATACAAGAAGACAATCTTAATAATACACATCTGCCTCTCTTTTTTGCTCTTATTTTCTTTCTATTTACATTACTTTTTTCTATCTCCCTCTTATAGAAAAAAATAATTAAATTATAATTTAAAAATATAAAAATTACACAACTAATGTTCAATTTTTAGTATCATAAGAGTGTTTTCAGACCCAATGCTTGTCTCTGTATATTGTACTTTGTGTTCAAGATTTGAGAGATTACAGCTAATCCCAAACAATTACAAAGTACGATTATCCTCTCTATATTTTTATCCTTATTTAATACTAGTTATTTTTCGGGCCTGAAGGTACGGAGTAATAAAAAAAATGATCAACAATAAGTATATTTACATTTACATCCAAAATCAAATTACAAAGATAGAGGACAGATAAAAGAATTTAAGAACCGATTGTAATGAGGACAGATGGTGATGGGCGACAGTGGTTGTGGTGAGAAATAATGATGGTTGTGATGGGTAACAACGATCGATTGTAATGGTGGTGGTGGTAAGGGGTGATGGTGGGACAGTGACAATGGTGGTGACAACGATGGTGGTGGTGGTTGTGGGGATGGTAGTGGTGGTTGTCACACCTCTACCCCGGATCACATAGGGTGGGTGGTGGACCGGCCACCAAGGCCTTAACCAACTAACCATATACATAATAAATGTAAAATATAGCGGAAGACAAATAATAAAGTAATACATTTCACTGATCTAATGAATACTAGAGGAATAAACTAAACATCACCAACATCATTACTAAACTCATGTAAAACAAAAACTAAACCATAAAGTTCATTACTCTAAAGTCTAAACATGAGCAACATTAATCTCAAAAATAATTAAATATTTGTCTCAAAACCATAAAAGACATTTATTCCTGAAGACTTACAATAAAATAAATCTTTAATCCTTCTAATCCTTTATTTATCCGGGGACTTACTCCTCCCTTTGATTCTCACCTGAAAAATGTTAAATGTTTGGGTGAGCACAAATGCCCGTGAATAACAACAACCTCTAATGAGGTGTGAAAATAAATCTCATATTTTATATGCAAAAATAAATTTTGTTATCTACATAAGTACAACAAATTGTATCTCAATCCTTTCCACATAATCATGTAAACAAAATGATCTCATGATCATAAATAATTTTATAAAAGAAAGGATATTTATAACTCAAACTCCCACTTATTTTTACAAATAACTTTATGAATAAAAGACATTTATAACTCAAAACACTCGCACACACATATTCAGTTTCAAATACATTTGTCAAATCATGCTTGTTACCACTAGCCTGGTAACTGGCCTCATCTTTTGTTATCACTAGCCTGATGACTGCCCCCCGTTTCTTGTTATCACTAGTATGATAATTAGCTCCTATGTGCACATCACTAGCCGATATACAATCTCGTTACCATTTAGACCTGGTAACCCAATCTCCTTCTTATAAAACATAATTTCAACACACACACTAAAACTATTGTTTTAGTCCTAACACACACAAAATTTCTCTTTCATCACCAAGACACATTTAAGCAATGATATAAAATCATCTCATAAGTTTTTTAAATTCACATGTATAACAATTCACAATTGCAAAACATTTAATTGCAACCCCAAACATCAACATATATCATATATATGAAAAATTCACACACACGTATCCATGTACCCATGCATTTAATATAGAAAATTCTCCTAAAATAAGTATTAAACTACTCACCTTAATTTCCAAAATTCAATTCAAAGCACTCTTTCTCAATCTCAATGCAATTACCACCTAATCTAAAATAACATATAACAATCAATCTCTTTTCCTAACTTCGTCGTTTCACGATTCTATATTTCCTACTCATTGATATATACTTAAAATATCTTTTACATATAAATATCTTTTCTAATACAAGGTAATAGGATATGAAAGTATTCTGGGCTATTTAAAAAAAAATTCTAAACTTTTGGGGTCAAAGTATAATTTGGAATACTTTCCAAGGCTCGAGGGCTGTTTTCAAAATTATAAATCTTGTTTCAAAACTATTAGGGTCATCTTTGCAAATTATCAAGTGAAAAAGTGATCAAAGTTGAATTTATGAAAATATAGGATGTCACAATGACATCTCTTGTAACTAATGGGAGTTTCTATAATTTTACACCTTTCACCTTCTTCTTCCTACAAAAACTCTAAACCAGTAACTTCTTTTTTTCTCTTTTTTTAACGCATTGATTAAATTCCTTATAAACTTCAACACTAACCAATCTAACTTAGGTATAAAAACACCTAAATTAGCAACTTCTAATAAAACTTATTTATACATTCACAACTATTCTTCACCATGAACACACACACACACACACACACATATATATAAGTATTCTTTGTCACTATTTATGATAACCTTAATACTTTGTAATTGAATAACTTACAAAGTTACCAATAATTAATGAATTCATACCTTTAATGAGTCCAATCCCCCTTTTTTTTTTTCTTCCTTTTCGTTCTTCTTTCTACCTTCTCTCTGTTTCTCTCTGTTGCCGCCTGGTCCTTCCAGCCCAACAATACTGATAATGTATGAGGCAACCTAGGGCAGTCCATTTACTTATAAGACACGATCGTTATCTCCCTTTAATGTCACTTAAGTCCCTCTAATTTCTTAGAATAACAGTTTTAATCATAACATATTAGCGTACAACCAATTTTAAATTTCCTAAATAACTTCCTCAGTCTTTATTTATTATAAAAAAAAAATCCAAACACATACATGTATTGGGTATTACAACTCTCTCCCTCTTCAAGAAGTATGGTCCTCCAAACTTGGTGCGTCCCAAGGTTGGAATATCTATGGGTACTTTTCCTTTTTCTCTTGTTCACTCTCCCAAGTAGCTTCCCTCTTCGAGTGGTTCTTCCACAGAACTTTAACAAATGGAAAAACCTTGTTCCTTAATACTCGTTCTTCTCGACCTAAGTTCTTCACTGGTAGTTCATCATAAGACAAATCCATTCACATTTGTAGCGGCTCAACCTCAATCACATGTGATGGATCTGGCATGTACTTCCTAAGCATTGATATATGAAATACATAGTGGATATCAGTTAACTCTGGTGGTAAGGCTAGCCTATAAGCCACTGCACCAACTTTTCCTAGAATCTCAAAAGGTCCAATATACCTTGGACTTAACTTCTCCTTTTTACCAAATCTCATAATCCTTTTCCAAGGTGACACCTTTAGGAATACATGATCGCTCTCCTGAAATTCTAAGTCTCTCCTCCATTGTCCGCATAACTTTTCTGTTTACTCTAAGCAACCTGAAGTATTACCTGAATCAACTATACTTTATTCGTGGTCTCTATACTATCTCTGGCCCATTTATCTTTCTTTCCCCGACTTCAGCCCAACAAATTGGAGATCTACATTTTTGCCCATATAAAGCCTCATACGGTGCCATGTCAATGCTAGCTTGAAAGTTGTTATTATAAGTAAACTCAACCAGTGGTAAATGTTCTTCCCAAGAACCCTTTAAGTCAAGCATACAAGCACGAAGCATGTCTTCTAATATCTGAATAACTCTCTCCAACTGTCCATCTGTCTGTGGGTGGTAAGTTGTACTAAATCTCAACTCAGTGCCCATAGCCTTTTGTAAACTACCCCAAAACCTTGAGACAAATCGAGGATCTTTATCTGAAACAATTGACACTGGGGCCCAATGTAATTTCACAATCTCCTTTACATAAAGTTTAGCAAATTTCTCCAAGGGATAAGTAGTCCTTACAGGCAAAAGTGTGTGGACTTTGTCAATCTGTCCACCACAACCCAAATAGAATCAAGTCCACTCAGGGTCTTAGGTAGTCCACTCACGAAATTCATGGTAATGTGCTCCCACTTCCACTCAAGAATAGGAAGTGGTTGCAATAATCCCCCTGACCTTTGGTGTTCTGCTTTCACTTTTTGACATGTCAAACACCTAGACATATATTCAGCCACTTCCCTCTTCATATTATTCCACCAAAATATCTCTTTCAAGTCCTGATACATCTTTATACTTCCCGGATGAACTGTGAAACGAGAGTAAGGGGCCTCCTCCATCACTTTTTTCATGATCTCTGAGTCATTAGGTATGCATACTCGATCCCCAAATCTCAACACTCCATCTACCACACGAAAATCAATCTTCTCACCTCACTCTATTTCTTGTAGAATCTTCACCAAATTCGGGTCATTCCGTTGTGCCTCCTCTATTCGATCTAGCAAGGTAGGCCGAACTTGTAAGTTTGCTACAAAAGCATTAGTCTTAGGTATCCCCACCTCAACCTTTGCCTCTTCAAGATC